CTTGAGCCAACTATAGTATCATTTGGAGCACATTATTTGTCATTTCAGAATTTACTTGTGATTAAAAGCATATTCATCCCTATCAAACTTAGTATTTTACTAAGCCTAACGTACCCACCCATTTGTCCCGCTGAACTACCAGTGTCTAGTTTCTACGGTATCAAACTGGGCACTAAAAACACTTTTTCTGTTGTCAATACATTAAGATTTAAAACACCTAATAAATCTTAGGTAATTCATCAACCAAACTCAGGGGTAAATAAAATTCTATTCCATTTTTCTCACTACTCACCCCCTGAGATTTAAAGGCATAACAGCCTTAACAATTTCCGAATGATGTTTATGCATTGATACTACTTTTTCTGACATTTTAAATCCCCTAGATGTCATCAATATTTCATTTTCGTTCAAGTACTCTGCAGCGTTTTGTATTCTGTTTGGAAAAATAAGAACTGACTGTTTAATTTTATAAGATTTCAAAAAGTGTCGATATTTTTGTAATTTTCGGCTACCAATAACGTCAAAATGTGCTTATAGCTTTAACAGAATTATCATTGTAGGTGTCAAAAACTACCACTGTTCGAAGTGCTCGACATCTGCGCCCAGCATTAATTACAGCTGTCAAAAAAGTCCTCTCTAAATCGTTAAAAGTTGAAACTCGCGTATTTTTGAAAATTAATCTTATTAGTCGGACTGTTTATGGATCATGGCTACAATGTATTCTTATTGTAAACAAACTGATATGTTGCTGGTCCTCGCGGGCTTTACAAGAACTCTCGTGTTACAAATATAGCGATAACTATATTATTCAGTACCTAAGGTGAGCACTTTAACGCCCTGCACCAACTCAACGAAACGATTTTGGATATAGGTAAGTGGGCTAAAATGAACTTATTTCTGTCCCAGGAGTCCACAGTCAAGCCATGTCCCAACCAGATTATTTTTTTTTCAAATGCATAAGATGCCTCAGATCATCAGAAATTATTTGTTTGCAAATGAACCTCGAGACTCATCAACAATTAACACGATACAAAAAATATTCAACAGATATCAAACTTTCCTTCTTTTTTGTTCCAGTACTACTGCTGATAAGGCACATTTTTCTGATATCAAATGTTTGTGATTCAAACCGAGGTCCAGAATAATTTGAGGGTCCGGCCTCACTGTCATTTCGCAAAATACTATTAATATTTTGAAAGCTTGTGTGCGATTTTTGACAGTCTGAGTGAAACTTTATTTTCAAAAAAATAATAAAATATGTTTTCTGACGAGAAAACGTCTGTCAATTATATTCCAGATGAAATCTATGATTCTTCAAAAGAGGTAATTACCAGAGCACAATCTCTAACATCGATGATATCGATGAAAATTCAGAAACAAAATATCGATTTAATAATAAAATCGATAATCTCGAAAATCTCGTTAATATCAATTATATCGATAGTCTCGATAATATTAATAATATCGATAATATGTATGATATCGATAATATCGATTATATCGATAATATCTATGATATCGATGGTATCTATAATATCAATAATACCGATAATACCGATAATATCGATGATATCGATGATATTGATAATATCGATAATATCGATAATATCGAAAATAATACCGATAAAATCGATAGTATCGACAATATCGATGATATCGATAAAATCGACATCAATAATATCGATAATTTAGATAAAAACTATAATATAGATAGATTATGCCTATAATAGATGATCCAAAACCGTTATCGCTCACCCCTAAATGTAAGGAGCATATTACGCAAGAATGTAAAAATTCCGCAAGCAGCAGCAAAGCGATAGTGCATAATTGCTTTCTAACGAGCATTACGTACTATACTTTACCTACGACCATATACAGCGTGCCAACAAAAATCGACATAATATATGACAAGATGACCCATTTCCCCCAAATGAAACAATTTGTATTTTTTTGCATCTTTGGATTTTTGAATTTTATATCGAACAATTTAGCAAAATTACATACAGTGTATTTCATGGGGAAAACTTTTTTTTATCAACAATTTATTTCAAAATTTTACTCGGGAGTTACTTTTTGCTTCGGAAAATATGTGAAATGGCCTTCTCGGTTGGGGTCACGTGACTTTCGAAACGTCAAAAGTTACATTTTTTTAAATCAATCGCTGAAAATGGGCTTGTTTGTTTGAATTCTGAGAAATTTTACTGGGAAAATGAGAAAAATTGTTCCTATACAAATTTTACACACGTGTCTCGAATGTGAACGTTCTATTGCAACTTTTGGTTCTTGATATTTTTCCATTTCTTCTAATTGTAACTTCGAAATAAATGTCCTAATCTTTGGTTGGATACGTGAAGTCGTTTGATGTTATTTTGATAGCTGCCTTTGGAATTTTAGTACTGAAAAAATCGATTTCAATAAATTTCGCTCCTGAATGCTAGAGTTTGCATCAAACATAACAGATATTTGAAGCGGGGATTCAAATTTCCCAAATAGAATAATACATTTGTCGATAATCAGTAATTGAAGTTCAGTAGCATGAAAAAGCTACTAGTATGAAACACTTTGGCCGGTGTTAGATTTTTCTTAATATTACAGACACTTCGTAGAAATTAAAGGAATATCAAAAACTGAAAGTTGCAATAGAACATTGAAATTCGAAACACATATGTAAATTGGAATAGAAACAATTCCTCCCAATGAACTCTTTCGAAATTCAGACAAACAAGCCTAATATCAGCGATTAGTTTTAAAAACTTAACGTTTTGACATGCAGCGATAATTACGTGTCCCCGACAGAGTAGGCCATTTTTCATCTTTTTTTTTTTTCAAAACTCAACGCTCAAGTCGTAATAAATTATTATTAAACCTTTTTTTCCATGATGCCAACTCTATAAAAGTCATTGTATCTACAAAGTGACCCATTTGAAAACAGGCCATCCTCACGAATATTTTATTCATGTAGCGATTTTGACGAACTCTTCATTTTCAAATGTGAAGGAAACAAAGTGTGTTTTGATATCCACTTTTTTCAAAAAACGAAGCTTCTTATAGTAGGGTGCCCATCTCAACGTATCCCTATGTGAATATACTCGACTACTCGAATTTGTACCTAAACTCGTGGTGTGAGCGTAGGCGAGATGTAAACAGATTGAATCCACGTTGTCTAATGACGATTAACTAACGTTGTTAAAAAACATATATATCACGTTTTTCTTTCTTCCAACGGTTATCAAATAGTCTCAATGAAACGTTTGATTAACGTTTATTTCAACAGTTCAATAAACGTTTCGAAAAAACGTTAGTTCACCGTGAGAACTCTGCCGAATCAATGAAAAGTAGTTTATCATGTGAAATTCACGATTAAAAATGACGGTACGGTTCCTACACTCATGATTTTGGAAATTTGTACAAAATAAGAAGGGAAAATGGAAAATCCGACTTGAAGATTTTCATCATTGTCAAACTCTTGGTTTCTCAGGAGGTTAAGTCATTCTTGTTAATGTCAATAGGAGGAAGTAGGAAATGTCAATCGAACATAACGCCATTTTAAAGGAATCGAAATTGTTGCAGATATTTTTATTTGTTTTGTGATCGTCACCCTGTATTATTTATTTTGAAATAGAAGAAGTGTGTTATGAAGACAATTGATATAAAAAAAGGAAATAATAATAAATAAAGAAAGTAGTTGAACGAGTTAAGAACGAAAATACAATACACCCAAGAAATAAATAACAGAAATGTTATGTGATATACAGTGATTTCATTTTCTCTAACATCTGGATCCATAAGCTATCACAAATTTTTATTTTCGATAGTTCCGTTTACAAAAATCGACAGTTTCTGCACTTTCATTTCAATATTTAATAGGAAACTGATTCTTTTGACGAAACATTAACGAATAGAGATTTGTGATAGCTCCTAGCTTTGGCTATCCAAATAGAGGTCTCCATGTCTCAAAACGGAATTTTGTCAAGCATAAAATTGCACAGTTTTGCCAAGATTTAACCGACACAGCATCTCTTACAGTTCACGAGATCCTAATGATGAGGCTCTAATTCCAGCCACCCTGTACATAATTGGGAATTTTCAATATCGAGGAAAACTTTCTATTATTCATTATCTCAAACGTAGGATCATTCGTCTCAAAGTCGATGAATAACCAGTTATTGAATCAGTATATTATCCTGATTTAAATAAAATACTGAAATTAACGTCTGATAATCGTTTATGCATCCGAATATCGATGAATAATCTTCTTCACATAATAATAGACGTTTTAAAATGGGTCAATTTCTTACGTTTCATCAAAATTATCAGTACACGATCAAATGACGTATCAAGTTACTGAAAAATTATAAATATGAGAATTTGAAACGTTGAAGTAAACAAGAATTTGTTGTTCGAATCTATTAGTTTTTCAACGTTATAATCAGGCTATTTCTACCAATTATTCTACCGTTTCATTGAGATAGAATGACGTGTTGTTGCTTGAAAGTATCAACGTTTTATTTCAACGTTCAATAATGGTTGAAGATGAAGAGAAAGCGGTGAATTGTCGGGAATAAAACGTCTAAATAACGTATTCATTTCCCGATCATCTACATTCAAATTTCAACAAAATTCACAACCACTAACGTTATTTCCACGGTTCCAATCGTTATTCAACGTTTTATCAACAAGTTTGTGTTCACTGTGATTCTCCATTGAAATTCTGCATAGATCAAAACCGCAGATACGAATATCAAATACCATTTTATTTTTCAGTCGTGTACGGCATATGTCAAAAAATGTAAAATTTTCATCAAAGAGAGTAAGCAGTTAGCGGTGATAGATGACGAAAGATTTATTTGGGCAAAATAATGATGTTATCATATTATGAAGTTCAAGACTTTTTCAATCGCATTCAAATTTTGGTTTCAAAGCTTCCAATACCTTCATCAGCTTTCGAGATTTTCGTTGTTGAATTCGCAAAATTCATGTATCCAATTTCCATGTGTTAGGTTACGGAGATTCTTGTTCTGGCTTAGAACTATCTGAACTGGGCATAGTGAGCGATACCGCCCAAATTTACAAATGGATAGGATCTCACACAAAAAATGAGATATTCGTGTGGGGACATTCACTGGGAGCAGCATTGGGTACGCATGCGATCAAAGTTTTGAAAGAAGATGGCACGATCATTCCAACTGGTCTCATTCTAGAATCTGCCTTCACGACGATGAGAGAAGAAGTTGCAAATAGTGGAATTGGAAAGGTAGGTAGTAGTTGTAACTTATTGGAATTGGCAAGCCTAATATACAAACAGATGAATAGTATATTGTTCACTATGAATCCTAGATATTTCATTCTAGTCACAATTTGTAATTCAATCAATTTCAATGTGCAGTTCAACTCACACGATTCAATTTATCTTCAGTTGATATGATCATAGCTTCAGATTTATCAGCATTCAGTTTCAATTTGTTTGTTTTGAAATGAGTATTAATTGATTTCAGAAACTCATTTATGTTCTTTATCGCTATTTCTAAATTCTCATTCGATGTATGTATCATATAGGTATGTATCATCAAATAAGTTCAAAGTATGGAAACTAGGGAAATAATTTCAATCATTGAGATAAATGATGAACAATGGTCCTATGGCCCCTGTGGAACACGAATATTCAGATTGTATTCTTCAGATTCAGTATTATTTTCGTTATCTAGTTTCTTGCACAAGGTAGTTCACGAAAAGTTTCCATCCGAAGTATTCGGAGAATCAAACAAATTCCGTTATGATAAATGGAATATCATGTTTATCAATCTTAATACTGACAGCAATGTTGCCAGATTCCTGTATTCTGCTGTGCGTTACACAACTTTGTTTTTTCAAATGCAACACCCAGTTTTTTATAATTGCATCCGATTGCTGATGCTTTATTTGATATAACCTCCAATTATTATTATCATTATTATTATTATTAATTGACAAATTCCAATTCTGGCTATTTACTAAGATTCAGCAAACCAGCATTTTTGAAAAAAAGTATGAGAACTCCTGGATATCTCTGGAACAAAAGATGTTATATTGATGAATATCACCGAAATCGGACGCCTGATAATGCAAGATCAACATATTTCTTGGAATCAGTTAAGGCCCATGACACTGTATTTTTCACATTTATTTCTCAGTCTTGAATTGGAATTCGAATCACTCAGTAGCTTCTGTATAAATAAATGAATATTTCTTCAAAAAGTTACTTCGGCCAGGAATTATTTTAGTTGCATCAATTTCCTCCACAGTATATACATAGTTCACAAAGAACAAGCACATGTTTTTATACAGACTTTTCTTATTTTTGCTTTCAATATACATCTTCAAACGAAATTATTTTTGTCACATGAAAATATTATCATAGGTAGGAATACACTTCTTTACAAACCAAATAATTCCAAATTTATCATCTAATAGCTCGACGATACAATTCACAAGTTACTTAGTTTTCACTTCTATCGGCAGTCCTCAAAGACTGACCCTGCACCTTCTTAATTTTTTTCACGAATCAAAAAATGTATTCCGCAATTTCCTACATGGTTTCTAATGATGAAGAAACGAACACAATGGTCGTTTGAAAAACACAAGTTGGTAGCTATTTGATTAACTAATTTTTTCATGAAATGTACATTGATGATTTTTATTCTTTGCAGTTGTTCAAATGGTTATTATATTTCGAACAGACCGTTCTGGAGCCATTGGAGAGGAACGGCTTCATCTTCAACACCTCCAACAATATTTTGTCTGTAGATTGTCCAATAATGATAATGCATGCAGAAGATGATAACGTCGTTCCATGTTTCATGGGTAGAAAGGTTATCAGATCTTATATAATATATATGCCCAACCTGATTTACATCAACATGGGGAGAATTATTTATTAGGTGGTTTGTAGTTTATACTTATCGAGAGTTGAAAAAATTTGAAATTGGAAGAAGTGAAGCAATCTTCTGATCAGATCTGACCGACTTCGAATGTTCGCATGCTTACTTGAAGTCGAGTAAACTCATCGTGATAGGTCACTGACAAAAACACCTCATTTTGGTCTGCTCCAAAAAGGTACTTGCCGACAAGATTGACCAGTACACAGTTCTGCAAATGTTGATATAAATCAAGCAAAGCTTATCACGCTATCATCATCTCGATTTGGTTTGATTTCACAAATCTGGTGTTTTTTTTTTAGTTGAACGAGATAGCACAAACACAGAGGGATATTGCTACTAAGGGAAAAGTCACCTACTATGAGTTCCCGGCCCTTTTAGGATACAGTCATAACGGAATAACGGAAGATACCAACATAACAAAATACATTGAGTAAGCCAATATTGATATCATACAATGTGTTCCAAAAATAGGTGGCCCGCTTGCAAGGGTAGGTATAGCACTGCAAAATAAGTTGGGTTTGCTCAGAAAATAAATGACGTGACGGCATTTGTATTCAAGATACAATATGATGGAAATACCGAGCATAGATATGGTGGGCTTGGTGGGGATGGTGGTGCCAGACATTACAATGCATGCAATGCATTACAACACATGCTGGTGTGAAGTTACACTTTCCTTCGTTCGCCTACTACAGGGGACTTCACAAAATTACCCTTTTATGATCACAGGGTTCGTGATTATTTAGGCACGAGGCAGACTATATGGTGTGAACATTAGGACTCCATATAGCTATAGATACACAATTATATTCAAGCATCTTATGGTCACGCGTTATTGATAGTTTGAAATTGTTTTCATTTCGGATTCAACAATTTGGGCATTCAACTTATTTGTCCTTTGGTACGGTCACAGAATTCATTTCAAAAATGTTTCCGCAAACGCTTTGTTACCGATCTACAAAGCGTGAAAGTTCAAAAATGTCTTTGTTTTGCAGTACCACTTAAAAAAAGTCAAGGTTCGTCGGGATTCCAATTCATTAGGGAACTTATAATCAATTGATTAGGATCAACAACTGAATATGTAGCGTTGTTTGTTCTAATTACGATATTAGCAGGTTCCTCCCTCTTGTTAAAAATTTCAATTCAATCTAGCAAATTAAACAAATGCTTTTTTCTTCTCGATACGGTTGCAGATGCGTCAACATCACGAGAGATAAAAAAGTTTATAAACAGAACAAATAACCCATTTCGTATTTTGAAATCTACCAGTGGCGCACCACAAAAAAGTTTATGGAGCGAGAAAGGGCTTGACCCCTCAAAAAATATCTTCCTGTAGATTCTCACAATAACTCAGCATACTGTATGATGTGAACCCTAAAGCGTTACCTTTGTTTCAAATTCGATCGATTTTTCTTCTCAACAGGATATATGTATCTATCCAAAATGGGTTGTTTGGCAAAATATTGCTGATATAAAATATTTGAGATATTGTATTAAAAAGTTTGAAGAAGATTCCAACCATAAAACATTCTGTTTACATTTTCCCGAAGAAGCACAAAAAAGCCGTCAATAGTCCAACATTATATCTACAGTTACATCATTCCATCAGACAAATTAAACAAATACCTCTTTCCACATTTTCAACCTATTGATTTTCGTTTCAAAGTGATTTTTTCATCATATTATCACTAATAAATGATTTTTTATGTACAAAACCTTGAAATGCCTCTACCTCCGTTATCTTAGATTTTTTACGTAAACAATTTTTGGCCAAACAACTCAGTTTGGCGAGATATATAAGCTGTTGAATGAAGAACTTCCCTTACCGATTCACCATGTATAGAAGAGAAGGACAAAATTTTGAACGGACCTGATTTTTTTTTCACAAAATTCAGACATGTATCACACTTATAGTTTTTGTCTTTGTAGTTTTTGTATTTCCCAGAATAAAAGGGCTTGAGCCTGAAAACAGAAATCGACAAATTTGTTCTCTCTCAATCATCTCGGGAACTGCTCACTATATCTTTGATTCCTTCACATGGTCCTTATTATGACCCCCGAAATTAGCAACTTTTGGTCCATTAAACCAAACTTACTATCTCTAATCGTTTCAGATATAGCAATAGTGGGACAATAAAATGTGGGCCACCCTGTTCAGTTCGCGAAAAGTCACAATCACAAGTAGAAGCTGTAAGGTTTGATGAACAATCTTCTTCTATTACATTCCAAGCCAATTGGAAAAACTATTCAACTAATAACGTGAATCAAGGCATCGTATTGGAGTGATCATGAATAATTAGCTATGCATTTGAATACTCACTTTTACTGATACTGTTACTGACTGTCTATTCTATCTAGATTTTTATACTTTTATAATGGAATTTTGTTATAAATTTGCACAGAATCCATTAGATTTCCGCTTGTGCAAAAAGAGGATTTCGATGATTTTAGAATTATGGTTTTTAACCCAATGGAATTTTTTCATGAATCATGAATTATAAATTCGAATGAACCTTGGAGATTACTAAGACTCACACAAGAAGGATTTTGATGTTTGGCATGATTTTGAATTGAATCTGATAATTCGAATTTTGTGTTTGGATGAAACCACCTAGAAAGGGCTCTGCTACCTCTTCGTGGTTTGTGGAAGTAGAGATTTGCTGGAGCTGATAAGCTTATCAGCAATACGAGTTCAACATCCTCTCCTACAACAGCCATTGTATTGTCATATATGAGGATAATGATATGGCTGTGGCAATGACAATCAGTCTGTCAGCATCCTCCTCCGCTTGATATGACACAATATTATTAATGAAATCATGCGAGTTTTGTTGTTGTGTTCATTTGTCAGAAAGTTTTCTTGAGGGACCTTTGAAGACATGAAATATCCGATTCAATCAACAATATTTGGAAAGTTATTAGTCCATTCACATAATCCAACCAATCAGCTTATATGAGATCCTTAATTCAAGTAGGTACTGTTGATTATTAAGAAAGTTGAATTTATGAACTCAACAAAAATGTTGAGAAAAAGCCGGGAAGGAAGAGGGTTTTCTCTAAATATCTAAATTATCAATTATATTTCCTCGCAATGATTATTTTTCATATTATACATAAGTGAAATGAAGTCATGAGAAAATCGCAAAGTTTTCAAGTAATGAAAAGGGTTCGTATGAAACCTAACCAGACATCAATTTTCCTATTTTTTAGTTTTTTGCAAGGTATGAGTCTGCCATTTGATCTACCCGCATCGCCCTCAACGTAAATTGAAGCTCAAAATATTTGCTACCCTTTTACTCACGTCAATTTCCCTCGTAGGATCAGTATTTCCTCCAATATTCAGCTCAGAAATGGCTCAAAATTTGATTTTTGATTTTTTTCAATTGACCTATATCTGGAGTGCTGTATTTCTGGACCTACTGGACTCATGGGGCTGCAACTAGGCTCAAATTGTGGCAGATTCAATCTTCCTCAGATGGAGTGTGATTTGTTTTTTTGGCTTCCACACATTTTTTTCGGAATTATAAGCAAGAAAACAAAAAAAGTGCAGAAATCCCTCTATTAATTGCGAGTATTTCAAAAAGCACCAGGAAATTCAGTTGAATAATTGTTCTAGATTCGGATTCAGCAACCCAACATAGGAAAAGATTATGAAACCGATTACTGGATGTTTTGCAACGATACCGTTTGCCTGGATTATATGTCGAGATCAAAAATGATAGCAAAACTGACTTTGATTGGCATTCAGGGTTCTGTTTCGTGACTGAGGAACACGAGTAGAAGAGGATTGGTGGAAAATCAATTTTCTCTTGTATTGCGAACTACCCAAGGTAAAAGCTGTGGAGAGAGCAATTCTGACATGTTCCGAGTATAATATAGAAGATAATTCAGACTTATTCAATCAGTCAATCACTCAGTATGAATAGTCTGCAGAAACTTTGTGATTTTGCTTCTCAGAAGTACTCAACATCTGCACCTCCTCATGAATTGTCTAGGATCCATATCAAAACTGTCTTCGAAATATTAAAAACTGGAAATAATTCACAATTACATGCAGAAAGACATGCATCAAAAAGAATCCTAATTCCCGTGAATCGGGGAAGTAGTGAAGCAAAGTCTACGAAGTCCTTGAAATCAGATGATGAGAGTAGTCACTGGGTTGGTTTGAACCACCCCCGCTCCTTCCATATTCAACCACGCCCCCTAGGCCAATCAGAGGTTGGGGAAGGGACTTATGGGTGATGGGCGAGGCCTAGGCGGGAAGGGGCGTTGTCTAGTTGTCTAGAAGAGATTGGTTTTTCGAGGCGAAGTGAGGATAGTGGTTGGAAATTGAGTGGAGCGGATCGGAATTGGGTAGGGTTGAGACTGACTTTGATAGTACAAGAGGGTGACATTGATGAATTACGACTTAAAGGGAAATATAACATCGATGTGATTGGTTGTGGGTGTTGTATTGTTATTGTTGTGTGGCGTGAAACAGCTGACAACATGGCGATTATTGTATGACTCGTGGAAGTGGACTATGATGGTTGTTTTATCCACTGGTCAGTTTTCTCAAAGTATGAGATTAGGATGGCCTCAGCCGGATAAGCCGATGATGATAATAGTGATGTTCACTCGTAAATTTTCTGTAGTGATGGTAGAACCCAGCCGGTTTCACAATCGCATGTATTTTAAATTAGCGGTGGTGGTGGCTGTCGAATGAGATCATTCTCCATATTGATGAATTGAATATATGGTTCGCCATCATTCATATTCCTCCACTCCTTGCCCACGCCTCATTGGCCGTCATAGTTTTGCCTTCTCTTCGAGAAGAATGATGCTTTTTTTATCCTACGAGAGTGTCATCATCATTCAGATTAGTCATTTTATTGGCGAAGTCGATTGGTTTCTCTGGAGAACATATTTGAGTTGGGTGAAGGGTGGAAACTGCTTCCTCGTTCAGGAACTTTGACACCCAAACACCACTTAAAATTCTAAACGAATATTTTTCCGAGTAAAACTGAGCATGTTCCAAAATATTATTTCGTGAAAATCACATGTGGCTTCAACTACCACTCGGTCGCATACATATTTGGTAGTATAATATATAATATTCCTGGGGTGTTCAAGGAAAGTTGAGAACTATGATTTCACGTACCCCTCCTCCTTCATCTCGTGAATGGTGGATGCAGATTGAAATTATTAGGATACGGTATTGTAGAGAGAGAATAATATATATTTCAGAAATCGATTACTTACCTAGCAGTTGCAGGGTCCACCCTAAAACCAGTTTGGCATTTCTGATTACATCTGTACTGTTTGAGAGGTGGCGGAGAAATACTGGAGCAATGTCATAGATGCATTGACTGACATTCCATGACTGTTGGTATGAGACATTGTTGTAAAGTGATCTGGAACATGTAGTATTATTCAAGTAGTTGAATATCA